ATGAATTCGGACAGGGATTATTGTAGTTTCTGAGGAATTTTTTAAAAGATTCTTAATTGTTGATTTTCGATTTTGGGAGAATTATTCGAGAACTATCGATAGATAAAGTGTTAATGGTTGCACTAGTTGTAATCATTAATAACCATTTAACGATTTGTGTATTATCGTTAATCGATGATCGCAATTATCGGTTAAATTTCTTTCGATTGTTAATCTCGATTAACGACTAAAGTAGCATCTTGTCCAATACAAAAAAAAAATATGATAAAGTAATAAACATGATACAGACAATTCTTAACGGAATTAATTAAAATATGCTTCAAATTCCATTAAAAGAATCAACGATTATTAATTGTTTCTTTCAATCGATGATTGACGATTACTTTCATCGAATGGATTAATTCAATCGTCGATTTTTCAACGATTTCCTTTAATCCACGGCTGTCGACCACAATTAAGAATCGATTAATTCAGTAGCCGATTAACTCTTTGCACTCGAAGCCATTTTAACTATAAATCATAAGTAATTTCTTTGACTTATAGTATTTCCATTTTATATGACAAAGTGCATTTTATGCATATGAAATTGCGTCTCGTGGTGATCCGTACAACAGTTACACTTTTAGCAATTTTAAAAAATTTAAACTTAGTAAACAAATTATCTTGGAACGTGATATAACAATTTTAGTGGTGCCTGAGAGTCACCACTCGAGTGCAAAGGGTTAATGCCTTCAGCCCCCTTAACTACTTATTTGTAATTCTAAAAAGAATCGTGGAAGAAACACGTGTTTAATAAACTTGCTTCTACTCAATCGAACTAGGGCCTCTCAATTATTTATGCACAGAGTAACATGTGACTTTTCTGTCAATAATAACTCACTATACATTAACGGTCTGTGAGACAGCTAATAGTGGTTACGTAAGTATTCGTAGGTGTAGTAGTTTGGGGTTAATCGTTCTCAGCAGTCACTGAATCAAATTCAAAGCTTTAATCCTGCGATGCTCAAAACTGGCTGTGCACCATAGGAAATCCGAGTTGTTTGTTGAAAGAGGATCGTTTACCGTTAAAGGTGCGGTGGCGCTGATCCTGGTCGGCATCGGCGTGGTAATCGGCCTGTCCGTGTGCAGAAGGAGGAGCGCATCACCTACGAAGGACGGTCCGGACGATTTCACGACGCCGTCCTATGTTTCCGCGCAGAGGATCGAGCCGAGGATCAGATACTCGGGCGACAGCAGCAGGCGTTCTCAAAGGACCAGCCTGTACGTCGAGGAGAATCGAAACGGTAAAGTGTTTGGCCTCGACGTCCTCTCGGAAACTTTTTTGCTTTTCATATAATATTCGAAGTCATAACCACCGTTTCCGCGCGTTCCCTCAAATGTCAATCATCGGATGAACGGTTCAGCAGAGTGCAGTAAATTTTCCCTAATTGACGCTCAGCTTGGAAACAATCATGGACAATTTGGGAAGAGGAGGTACAGTTATTGCAGCCTTGCGGCACGTTTTTATAGTTTTGGACGATCGGTAACCATAAAAACGAGCCGTATGGCTCGAATAATCGTATCTCTTTTTTCCCAAATTGTCAAATTAGGGAGAGTTTAGCGTCAATTAGGGAGAGTTTACTGTAGTTGCCTAGGATACTCTCATGTTTGTAATTGGTTGCTGCGTCGGTCGACTGCGCCGCTATCTATAGTAATGTCTCCCTAACTGACGCTCAGATTGTGCACAAAAATGGACAATTTGGGAAGAGAAGATACGATTATTCGAGCAATGCGGTTTATTTTTATAGTTACGAATTGTCAACGACTATTAAAACGAGCTTTAGGGCTTGAATAATCGTATCTCCTCTTCCCAAATAGTCCACTTTTGTGCAAAATCTGAGTTAGGGAGACATTACTGTACCCCCACTCTGCTCAAGTGCTCATTTGCGACGTCACCGATGGAGTCACGTGACATTTGAGGGACGCACGGCAACGGTGGTGGTCGTAACGCGGACGAAAAATCACTTATACATTAATTTATTATTATTATTATTATTATTACTATTATTATTATTATTATTAATATTATTATTATTATTATTATTACTACTACTATTATTATTATTATTGTTGTTGTTATTATTAGATTGCGGATCTTCATGCATTTAACGGAAAAACGTGTAGACGTGTTGGGGACTCCTGTGGTATTGAAAAGATGAATAGTGATCGATTTGATTTTAGACATGATGGAACGTAGAATAGTGAACAAATCGAATGAAACTGAAAATATTGATATGTCAATTATTATTATGAAAATCATTTAAGATGGTACCAAGATTGCACTTGGTTCCAACGTCTTGCAATTGACGCGGACGACATTTATTTTGCACAAAGATCCTCAGGAACCCCCATTTCCGGATTGCGAGACATTTTTGGCGGCACCCTGTACAAGACTTTAGTCATAGTTTCGTGACCTCGGTTTTGCGAAGGCAGATGTTTCAACGGTGAAAATACAGAAATTATAGAGGTATCGATATGTTGGTGTTCCAGAACCGGATCTGCTGCAGCGGGTGGAGATCGACGTGCACGACTAACGTTGCGGAAGATCCCCTGCATTTTGTACAGCCGTGAGAGGAACACGCTTCGATGTGAAACGTTCGCCGTTATGTATTATACACGCTTCCCCGGACATCCTGTCTGTATTAGATAGAGAAATCCGGCCGGAAGTGCCTATTTTTGTAGACGTGTAAGGACGTAGCTTGATAAGCCGTAGAAAAGCAAGCGAGATGCAGTGCGTTATTGCGCCCGATCCGGTGATCTAACACTATTTCCAGAATACCTGTACCTGTGCTTTGCGATCGTGCTCGCGAGAGTGTCCGTAAAAAGCGTCCGCCGCGTCGCACGACGGCCTTAAAGCTTTTATTTATTACATCTCGCACTTTGTACTGCGACTGCACGTGCCATTCGCGAACAAGCAACAGTCGAGAGAGAAAGAGAGAGAGAGAAAGAGAGAGAGAGAAAGATAGATAGACAGATAGATAGAGAGAGAGAGAGAGAGAGAGAGAGAGAGAGAGAGAGAGATAGATAGAGAGAGAGAGAGAGAGAGAGAGAGAGAAAGAGAGAGAGGGTGATAGAAAGGACGTCGAAGTATTATAATCGAGGGCTCGGTGCCCTTACTTCCCTTAGTCGGCGCTTCTTCGCAGGGAGCCTCTTGGTTCCCGTAACTATAGTTCAGAATCCTTAATAGAACGCGCAAAGTGTACAGATATTTTTACAGTCCTGCCCCCGTAAACGTAAGTCACGATTCCTGCGTACCGAAACCAGGCATGGGCATTGTTCGAACCATGTATTAGAATATGGTCGCTTAACCGTTGTACGATGGACATTTTATCGATACCTAAATTCATCCAGATTATTTCGCAGTCCACTGTACTAGCTTCAATCAAGTATTGAACGGTACGTCGTTCCAATGGGTGCTTCGCTTAAAACCGGCCGCCTCGATACAGTGAATTCTCTCCAATTATTGCTCAGCTTGTAAACAAAAATGAACCATTCGGGAAGAGGAGGAACGATTGTTCGTGCCTCGCGGCTCGTTTTTATAGCCGCCGATTCTCGATAACTGTAAAAACGAGCCGCGAGGCTCGAATAATCGTATCTCCACTACCCAAATTGTCCATTTTTTGTGTACAAGAGAATTTACTGTACCTCCTCCAATAGCGACGTTATTCCAAGGTTATTTCTTAATAAAATATATTCGGACCTGTATAACGACCTGATCTTAAAACGGCTTTCGATTCCGAACATGATCTTTGATTTCAATGATCGTTTGAATGTCAACTCATTAAGCGGCTACACGAAGCAATAACGAAAAATATGCACTTATACGCAAATCAACACCGATGATTCCGGAAACGGGTGGTCGGCTTTAAGCGAAACACCCCGTATATTGCCCGTCGACATCTTGAATCAATAACAAGCGGGTTAACGCGATAATTCGGCGAAAAATTGTTTGCACTGTCGAGCGAACCTGTTTGACCAGGGAATAACGTATTTCGTGCGATTCGTAAATAATTTCTTGGATAATCGTTGCCGTATCTCGGCGATTAACTCGGTAACCGAACGCTCACATTACGATGTGGGCGAGTAAAATGCATGTACAACGTCGGATAATTACTTTGCAAACTAGTCGATTTAATATCTCAAAGGCAAAGTCTTTTGTTAATCGGATTGCCGATTACTGCCAGCTATTGTTCCAGCAAACGTTGCATATTCGAATCATTGCAAACTTCATGTGTTATTGGAGGAGTCCAGGAATTTTTAAATAATTACATTAACGTGTGTTAATGTGACTGATTTAAACAAGTACGAACGCTTTGCACGTAAGCGCCAGCTTTGTTTTTTATTCGAACGAGTCAGCTGAGATAATAGCAAATCAGTTGTTTTCGAAGAAAGATAAAGTGTTGCGTTGTTTCCAAGTCAGAAACAATGATTTCCGGACTATGAATTTTCACGGTTTTACAGTAGCTGAGAAGCGAGCATAAAGATTCACAGTCTAGTAGTATAGCCGTGCCATTGTGATGCGTCGCGATGCTCGATTGAAACGAGGCCAGAAAAGAACACAGTAGTAAAAATGAAGAGATTATTTTTCATCGTTATTTTGACCTCCTCCACTGGAATGACGTACTGCAGGCGTCACCTAGAATCAGGTACTAGAACATAGATAAATAACAAACTAGCTAGACATACAAAAATATGTCTCGTTGCATTGTATAGCTTGCATCGTGCCGAAGTTCATTGTACCGAATAATATCATTAACCAAGATTTTTCGTACATTGGTAATCTCGTAGATAATTATTTTAGAAAGATTCGCCACAGACATCTGTCGATAAATTTGAAGAGGTTACACCCCTCGCACTATGATCTCCTTTGCAACTACACTGATCAGTCCTTCTTCGTTCTTAATAATTTCTCTAATAGGACAAGACAATTTTTATTTCTTCTACATCTCTATTTTTATTCATTGTTTCTATTCAGAAGGAATGAATAACATTCATATTTAGTAGATTATGCGTGAAATCTTCGCCACGAGCTTGACTCGTTTTTGTAGTTCAAGTGGTTAATTTTTTGCGCATGTGCTACACACGTCGCCTATAGTCGACAACGAAAAGATAAATAAATAATGAAACTAGCTAGGCATATAAAAAATGTCTTGTTGCTACGTAGATGGTGATTCTAGTAACTGGGCCGAGTTGTAGTTTTCTGTTGCAGGTGAATTCAGAAAAAAGTTGTCAAGAAAAATTGTACACTATTTAACAAGCTCTATTATTTTATAGTACGATTTCTCCACAAGTGCATAGGTGTACTTGCAAAGTGCAACTGCACTTTTTAAAAAAATAGAAAGTGCATATTCTTTGCAGGTAGATCGATTCTCTAGAACATTTTTGGAAAGAAAGTACAACTAGAGTACAATAGCAAAAATATTATTATTTCATGAAATATTTTATTTTCCTAACGGTAAGCTTGATGTTGATAAATGAAACAGCGTCGTCGCGTCGCGTCGTAAAGACACGACGTATAAAATTGTGTATGAAATACTTTGGGAAATATTAATTTTGTTGCCACCTATCCTCGATCTAATTCTAATGTTTTTGTTCACCAAGGGTGTTCTGGAGAAACGATCTACTTGCTAAAAAATCGCATTATACATAGAATAAGATACTAGTAGATGTAACTAGTTCGATACAAACGAATTACGAAAGAATTACGATTACAAAAGAACGAGTATCGAATCGAAATTGTAACTTGTTGAATAGTGTAAAATTTTCTTTTACAATTTTTACTAAATTCGTCTGAAACAGAGATGCAACTCGGCCTAATTACTAGCATCATCCTAATTAGTTTGCATTCTGTCGAAATGCAGTAAATTCTCCCTAATTTTCCTTCAGCTTCTGAACAAAAATGGTCAATTTGGGAAAAGAAGATACGATTATTCGAGCCTTGCATCTTGTTTTTATAATTGTTGACAATCGGCAACTATAAAAATGAGCCGCAAGACTCTCATACCGAACGAGATCATTAACGAAAATCTTTCACACTAAACCTACCACGGTCAAAATGCTCGACTTTTAATTTTACGATATTATAAATTTCAGAGCTTCCTTCGTGGGAAATGATTGAATAAATTACATTATTGAAACAAGTTTTATAATCAAAATTTTACAAAGTCTAAACGAATTCTATTTTGTCACTGTTATCAATCAATGCACATCACTACTGCTCGGTAGGTTTAGTGTTGATACCCCGGTAATCTTGTAAATCAGGAACAGCCAACTTTTTGTCGGCCGAGAGCCACAGAATTCCCATTCCCCACCACCAGCCAAACTGCACCCTACAAAGAGTTAGCGTGAGGGGATCATTTTCCTGCGATTTGGCAGGGGAAAGAGCGAAACGTGGCTCGCGGGCCGCCAGTTCGCGGTCTCTGTAAATAATTATTTTAGAAAGATTCGTCACACTTGACGACGAGTATGCCCATGCCTGACTGCGAGGTACTTTCTAATGACGCCATAGAATCCGCGCCACAGAGGATTCTCGAGAAACCGAAACGCTTACGAAGTCTGTACATACATACATACATATATTATGATAGAATTACGTGCAATTGTATTACTAGCGACCGACTGGCCGAATAAACGTACGTTCACCATGAATGTGACGATCATTTTCCGTGTCCCGAGCGTGCTTTATGACTAACAGTACGCGGCGAGAGGGGTAGAAGCAATTGGCGCGCGATGTTTTACGACGCTCAACATTTCGGAGCCCCAATTTTACGATAAAATTCCGCATGTTTAACCGTGGACGCGGCGCGCGGCGCGACGCGGCGCGGCCCGGCCGTCGTCCGCGTTATCGTTGCGAAATGTATGGCGTGCGCGCGATGCTTCAATGCCAGCTGCTACAAACAATTTTGGAAAAGCGCTGTGTGACTCCTGCCCGCGGTCGTTTAGATTCGACCGGGAACACGAGATTCTTGTCGCTCGATTACACCGATATAAATAACGAACAAGGGGGACTCGACAACATCCGGCATTCGTAAACCGCGCGATGCTTTTGCCGAACGAGTATCGAACCGGGTCGCGCGGTACCAAAATAAACTGTTATGCCATTTGCAACACGGTGCTCAAACTAACCCCCATGGACGACCCGGCCATCTTTTTGTTTGACGGGCCAACGAAATCCAATATTTCTGGGTTTACCCGGCAGCGCGTCGGCTCGTACCAAGAGTCTAACTACAAAGTGTCGCAACAACACTCGTAAAACTGGCATAGAGACAGAGGTTGCAACGGTTACGGTTTCCCGAATTTTTCGGAAACGGTTCGCGTGGTTGCGCCGTTGCTGTTTTCCCTGTTTTATTCCAGCAACTACGCGGCGGGGATGCTGATCAAGTATGTATTTGTAAATTCTTCTTGCTCGTTATTTTTCTAGTCTGCCAGCGGAAGCGTAACCGACCAGAGTCGATCCAGAAAAAGGGTTTCCGCAATTTTCTGCACTATTTTTTATGCTTACCACACCGGGAGAGCCATTAATGCCTCTGCTTTTTCCAATTTCGTTTCATATTTCAAAGAATCCCCCTTAGAAATTTAGAAATTTCTCGGTGTATAATCGCTTGCTTCTGGTTTCTTACGTTACCGAAATTCTATTGTTAGTTTCGAAAATATTAAATGTTCTTTAGAAAGTGGGTTTTTTCAAACTTCGCCGATTTTCCCGTGTTAAGCGTGCGAGTAAAGCGCGCACAAAATGTGTTAACATTGTTTCACAGGTTCTCCAGGACGCTGCTCAAACATGGCAGAAGTTTGACAAACGTATAATTGACAGCTCTGGTGTTAAAATGTTTCTAGGGATGTATAATTTTTTATTGGTTTCGAACGGAGTAGTCGACAAATTGATTTGAGGTCCGAATTCATTAGTTTCCCAAATTAGACAGTTCTTCGCAGACACGCGCAGAATGTTATTTGAATATTCTAGTGTGG